AATGGATCATATATGCTAATATATGCTAAAAAGCTACCTACGTACCGGATTTTAAGCAAATCGGACCGTAAAAACGATTTTTTCGAGTAGATTAGTCCCTGGTCCACTTCTCGGAAAAAATGGACTATACATCCTAACATATGCTAAAAAACTACTTACGTACCGAATTTTAAGCAAATCGGACCATAAATGCAATTTTTTGGAATAGGTCGGTCCCTAGTCCACTTCTCGGAAAAAATTGATCACATATGCTAATACATGCTAAAAAGCTATCTGCGCACCGAATTTTAAGCAAATCGGACCGTAAATTCGATTTTTTTGAATAGATCGGTCCCTGGACCACTTTCCGGAAAAAATTGGTCATATATGCTAATATATGCTAAAAAGCTACTTACGTACTAAATTTGAAGCAAATTGGACTATAATAAGATTTTTTCGATTAGACCGGTTCCTGGTCCACCTACCCGAAAAACAGTAAAATGTTTTTAGCCTAAAACATGGTGGTTACCGGAAGCTATTTGTATACAAAATTTCATGAAAATCTGACCAGCCGTTCGCGAGATTACCTGTTACAAAAAAAGGGACTTCTCTTTATATAATTAGTATAGATTAATTTCAATACATTTATAACAACGCAAAACATATTTAATTTACCTATTCCTCACACTTTATTCAGTAAATGAATTCCATCTTAATGTAGAATAATAGTGTATAGTGTATACATACATACATATGTACCTATGCATTCGGTGTGCTTACATAAATTAAAAAAGCATCACTAAATAACGCACCAAGCATTGAATTCCAATTATTTTGGCTTTTTGGTTTCCCAAAAGCACTAAATTTAGTGCAAAATGCACGACCTTGGCAACAGTGAGCTGAGCACATCAATGCTCAAACAGTGATGCCAGACCAAGTATTGAGTAAATGCGCTATGTATATTTTTCTTTTAATGCAAAAGTTCTAATTGGCGAGGGGATGGATTTTTGGTTCTAACATAGAACACTGATAAGATTCACAAACTTATCTTAGGACTTAATTAAAATAATCAACATTATTTGTAGACGAATAATATTTGTGCTCGAATGAAATAGTAGCTTATGTCGGGAGGCTGGCTTTAGTAAAATCTACCATTTCCTATATTCTTTAAACCACAAGGAAATTTTTTATGAGACTTTATACGAATATTGACTTGCTAGCATCGCAGCTGCCTCTTTTACGTTTGTTTTCCAAGAGTTCTTCAATGACTCGGCGCCAGTGAGTCTTTCGCAATGGTTCATTATACTTCCGACATAAGCTACTATTCTATACGAACACAGATATGTATACTTCCTAATAGGCTTGTAAAATGCCCAATACCCAAATTCCTCGCATGAGTTACTATTGGGTACGCTCAAATCTGGCATCACTGCAGCAAGTACTTTGTCACGCCAGTGAAACAGTGTTGATATTTTAAGTACAATTGTACTTCTTTCAGTACAGTTAATTTTAA